CTCCAAAATTAGAAACTTCTTGTTCATCAACATGATGCTCAAAGGATATGTTCATTGGTGCACTTGGGGTTTTGGATGTTCAGATTAGGGACCCTTGACTGGTAAGTATACCACAGATATTCCAAAACCTGAAAAAAGACAAAATCGAAACACTTCTGGTCCCTAGTGCATTGAATAAGGAACACCCAACCTATGTAAGATAAGTGCCCAGGGTATACCTGCTGAGCCTTGTGGGGAGTGTTTGTCGAGCTTTTTTCAGAAACTGCCAAGCTGTTTTCTAGAATCCCTATGTTATCGCACATTCTCACCAGCAGTGTGTGATCCACTGCGTTTCCTTGCTGTTTATTGAAGCCATTCTGATAGATGTCGTGATTGCAGTGTGACAAATTCACATTTCCTTAGTGAATAATGACGCTGAACATCTTATCATGTGTTTATTTTCCACATGCATATTCTGTTCGGTGAAGTGGCTGTGTCTTTTGCCTATTTTCTAATTGGATTGCTTGCTTGTTTGTTTTTCTTTTTTTACAAGTTGGATTGTTGATTATGCGAGTTTTTTATATAATTGTAGATACTAGTCCTTGGTTGGATATGTGGCTTTCAAATGTTTTCTCCCAGTCTGTAGCTTGTCTTTTCATTCTCCTAAGAGGGTCTTTGACAGAGCAAAAGTTATATCAGTTTTTCTTTTTAGGAGTTAAGCTTTTGGTGCCATGTCTGTGAACTGGTAGCCTAGCCCTGGATCCCAAAGATTTTCCCTTATGTTTGATTCTGAAAGTTCTGTCAGAATCATGTGTTACATGTAATGCTTCAGCTCAGGGTTCATTTTCAGTTCATTATGCAAAGATGTGACACTGATGTCAACATATGAGGTTGATATTGAGGTGTGACGTTGAGGTCCAAGTGTGACATTGAGGTGCAGGTATGATGTTGAAGTACAGACATGACATTGGGGTCAAAGTGTGCCTTCAGCAGCCCTGTTTGCTGAGGGTCCATCTATTCCCTGACTGGTTCTGCACCATCAGGAGGGCAGGTAGGCTTGTTTTGTGGAACCATTTCTGGTTCTCTGATGCATTGATCTGTGAACATTTTTGCCTTTTTCTTCATCTTCGGGAGAAAGTGTTAACTTTCATCATTTAAGGATGAGGTAAGCTGCAGTTTTGGGGGGGATGCTCTTTATGAAGTTGAGGAATTTCCTGTTTTCTGTGAGTTTTTATAACTAGTGGGTAATGAAATTTTTAATGCTTTGTGTGTGTTGATTGATGTGATTCTGTGACTTTCCTCCATTAGCCTGTCCGTACATAGTGGATTACATTGATTGATTTTTGAACACTGAAACAACTTTGCAACCTTGAAGTAAAACCCACTCGTTTGTGGCGTGTATTACTCTTTATATATTTTTAAGTTTTTTTGTGTGTTTATTCTGATGGGGCCTGTGGGTCTGCACTTTTCATATTTTGTTGTCTTCATCCAGTTTTGGTACCAGGGATGACCAACTTCCAACACTGCGTTGGATGGTGTCCCTCCTCCAGTATTCCCTGACTGAGACTCTGAAGAATTGTAGATATTCTAAACGTTTGCTAGAATGCTCCAGTGAAGCCATCTGGTCCTGGAGATTTTGTTTTTGCAAGATTTAAAATTGTGTGTTTGTTTTTCTTAATAGTTACAGGACTATTATCAAGTTATCTGTTTCATATTGAGTGAGCTGTGGTGTTTGTGTTTTTGAAGGCATTGCCTCTGATCCTAAGCTGTCAGAGTCATTTGGTAGAGTTGTTCATCCTACTCCCTTGTCCTTCTTCACCCTCAGGGTCTGGGTGAGAGCCCCCTACTTCCATTCCTGCTGTTGGTCACTCGTTCCTCCTGTTTTCTCTTTGTCAGTCTTGCTAGATAGACATGGTTTTATTGATTTTAATTTGTTGATTTTATTGATCTTTTGAAAGTTATCTGTTTCATTTATTTTTTTCTCAATTGTGTTTTGTTTCCAGTTTCATTGATTTATTCTTATCTTTATCTGCCTTCTGTTTGCTTTGTATTTATTTCTTAAAATTTTTTGTTTCAATAATCAAACAAAATTTGGAAAACTCAAGAGGAGGAGGTAAGTCAGATACAGTACCTGTGTTCTTGCTTCGTTCCTAGTAGAAGGGCTCCTTCCAGGGTTGTCCTTTGCCCTTTTCTGTTTTAGTAACCATCTCTTGCCTTCCTCTGGAGCAGACCCATGACCAGAGAGTCTCTCCTCAGTTCTCTATCATTCTTGGGATATTTTGCTAGAAAGAATATTTTAGGTTGATAGCTCCTTTTTTTCAGGTTCTGAAAAATGTCCTGCTTCCTCCTGGGGTCCATGACTCCGATGAGTTTTTTTTCTGTAGGTAAGGTGTGTCTTCTCTCTCTCACTGCTTGTAAGATCATTTCTTCATCTTTAGTCAGCAGTTTGATGATGTATCTTGGTGAGATTTTTGGGGGGTTGTCTTGTTTGGATTTCACTCGGCTTTATGAATTGGAAGGTTTTATGTCTTTTACCAAATTGGGTCATGTTCAGCTATTAATCTTCAGTTCATCTCAGTGCCTCATGAGACTCCAGGAACAGGTGTCAAATCTTGTATCGTGCTCATGTTCCTAAAACTGTCCTCGTTCTTCCTCTTCTGCCCATTTTCTCTCTGTTGTTCAGTTAGGGTGATTTCTGTTAGTTCTTCAAGTTTCACTGGCTTTTCTTCTGCCCCTACACCTGCTATTGAGCCCCTTCCCTGCATTTTTTTGTTTTTATGTTTCGATTATAATTTCCATTTGCTTCTTCATCATATCTTCTATTTCTTTGCTGAGACTTTCCACTCCTTCACTTGTTTCAGGTATGTTTGTCTTTGCTTGTTGAAGCATTTTTATCACAGATGCTTTAAAGTCGTCAGGTGACATTAACATCGCTGCCCTCTCAGGTGGCTTCTGTCCATTGTCCTTTTTTCATTCAACTTGGGTTCTTGGTATGAGAATTGACGTTACATGGAAACCTGGACACTTTCATATCATGTTATGAGACTGTGGGTATTATTTAAACCTCTGTTGTGACTGATTTTTTTGGATAGCAGCAGGAGTGGAGACCCCCTTGTTCCTACCAGGCGATGGTAGATGTTCAGCTCTCACATGGCCTCTACTGATACCTGAGGTGGGGGGGGTGTCACTGTTACTGCTGGACATCTGAGGGGGTCCTGGCTCTCCACGTGATCACTGCTGACACCATAGAGGTGTCCACAGCTCCACAGGTCGTGGTGAAAGTCTTGCCTCTTCCAGCTCAGAGTGGGAGGGATTGGACATCAGGCTTACCACATGCTCCCCTTGGCTTTCTCTGAGACTGCACAGCAGAGGGTGTTGGAACCTTTGCTGCTTTTTGGCTGGGGGGAAACAGTTACTATCTCAGAGGTTTTTTAAATATTCATTAATTTTAAAATAATGCAGCTTACGCTTGGACAGCATGCATTTAAACTCCATGGATCCACTTGTATGTGTATTTTTTCAACCAAACCCAGATGGAAAATACAGCATTTGAAGATTACAGAGTCCCACACACAGAGGACTGACCTTTTGTATCCAGGACATGTTAAGGCTTCATGATGAGTCAATCTCTGACTAAGACAGGAGCTTGGAGACTTGACTTCCAGATAGCTGAGATCAGCATTTTTTAGATTTCTCTGTAGAAATCTAACCTCCATTAGAGAATATTTGGTTAGCCTAATATGGCTGCTTTTTTTGACTTAATGCCCCCATTTTCCTTCACAATGATGAGGTTTTACCCTTGTGCCTGTGTCTGTCTTAAGTGAACTATGTTCTGGGATGGAGCATGGTGCTTGATGGTTCTTCATCCTGTGCTGCTTCCCCTGAGAAGAACCCACCACTGTAGAAGCTGCCTCTTGGTGGAGGACATACCCTCACCCTCCAGTTTTCACAGAGATTTACCTTCAGTTCTGAGTCATAAGCACACATCAGAATATATTCCTTAAGATTTGGCACATCCAGGTTATATGTAGATAGATGTGCAGCTCCAGGTGCAACTGCGATTTTTAACTTTCTAGGAAAATCAGTGTAACGTAAGCATCCTTGAAATGGAAGACTGATCTTTGCTAGTTGATTTATTGCTTTAACTTTGATAGGTTAATAAAACTATATAATAAACAATCCTAAATTATCTTTTCCTGTTCTTTGCGAGTAAATGATTTTAATTTCAACGCCATTGAAGTTCAGCAATTTACCATTACATTCTTTAGGTCTGTTTTTGTAGTCTAGATAGGGTATACATATGACTTTTTTTGTTTTTGTGTTTATTTTTTTGAGTGGAGACCTCGACTCAAAAACTTAGTAACTCACTGTTACTAAGGCTGGAGTGCAGTGGCACAGTTGCAGCTTACTGCAGCCTCGACTTCTTGGGCTCAGGCAATCCTTCCAGCTTAGCCACCTGAGTAACTGTGACTACAGGTACACCACCATACCCAGCTAAATTTTTTTTTTTTTTGCTAGAGATGAGGTCTCACTATGTTGCCCAGGCTGGTCTCAAACTCCTGAGGTCAGGTGAACTACTGCGCCCAGCCTGGTTTATCTTATTACCTTATTTTGAAGGTAAATATGACTTCCTGGTGGTTTCCAGGAAATTTTTCATCTCCCTTCACATTGTACCCTTTGTTCTAAAATGTGTAGAGCCTAGCTGATGCCCTGCACAGTGGGAGTTTGTTGATCAAAGAAGGTAGGTGTAATCTTCAGCAGGAGTAAACATCAATAAGTGTGTTTCATTACTCAGCCTGGCTCAACTAGCAAAGTCTGATGTGTTAAGTGAACACTGATAAAGCACAGCAAGTAGGTACTGTTGACAGACCATCACTGAATGTAACGTCATGGCTGAAGTAGCCCTGCTGGTGTGTGTGTTGACCTAGTCCAGGCATCAGGAATCTGACTCAGTGCTGACAGTGCCATTCCAACTGATCTCCTCATGTGGGACCTGTAAAATTCCTTGCAGAGTTGTGCAGCCACAGCAGATGTTTGGTGAAGAACCCGAGGCCCAGGATGGAGAGCAGCCTGGCCCTTCTAGAAGGAAGCGACAGCCCAGCATGTCAGAGACAATGCCGCTGTACACTCTGTGTAAGGAGGATTTAGAGAGTATGGACAAAGAGGTGAGCACCCATGCGCCCGACTGCGGGTGGCGCCCCAGGGACTAGCGCGGTGTCTGTACTCAGCCGCAGGGCTGGGTGAGGGCAGATTTCTGGAATGTGCATTGCACGTGAAAGGTAGCTGGAGCCCTGCCCACATGTAGTTGTGTGTTTGGTCTGAGGCCAGCACTTGCATTTTTCTATTGAGGGAGATTTGGGACAGCATTGAGTGGTGCATCAGCTGCGTGTGGCCGTAGAACATATTGACAGTCAGATTGGAGGACAGCTTTTCTCCACCAAGGCTGACACTGCCCATCCTCCTGCTCCCCTGGCCCGTCTGGACACAGGGCAGTGTCAGGGATAGTTGATGATCATGACAGGTTGCTCCCAGCTCCTGGTAGGCAGATCTGGGTGCTGGCTAGTCCCTTTGTGCACAGCGCTCACCCCAGCAAACCTAGCACACTGGCGCCGCTTTCTTGGAGGGAATCTGGGTTGCTGTCGGCAGCTGTGCAGGGATCGTGGTGGGCAGTTCCTGCAGCGTCTTCTTAATACAACACTGAAGTAGGTAGGCATGGGTGTAGCCTATGTGTTAGCACATCCTCACCTGGGGGAGTCACAATGCTAGGGCTCCACATCCACAATGAGTTGGGGACCCATGTTGTGGGACTCTTCCTTATGTCCTAAACCAAGATAAAAGTAATTTTTGGTCAGTGTAGCTGCCTGTCTCCTGGTGTCATCCTATAAACAACAAAACCCACAGGTGACCAGATGATCATGGCAGCCCCAGCCTGGCCTGCCTAGCTCCCACTTGCTGGCCCCCAGCCAGCACACCTCATCCCAAGACTCCCTAGACAGGCCTCCACGCCATTGAGTGTGTGGTGGGTGGTCCCCACGGTGAGGAGCTGTTCTCTGCAAGAGCTTACCATGGAGGTTGTCGCGTGTTCTGCAGTGAACATGCTTCATGAGGGTCCTGTGCAGCCACGACCAGGATGAGCTGTCCTGCAGAAACTCAATTTGCTTCTTTCCATGAGACGCTGCCCACAGCTTCTCATACATGGCCCTGTTTTATCAAGAGTACAGTGGAGCGTGTCAGGAGGAAAACAGTTTAGTTTTCATTTATTTTCTACAGTGGCAGAAACACACAGATGCTTATGTTCAGGATGGACCTTACTCAAAGTTCAGATGACCTATCCTCTTTAGGTGGTAGCTGATCTCATGAAGGTTAGCCCCTTATCAGGTTTGCTGAATTTCTCTATTTGCCATTTTTATGTCTTTTTGAACATTAACTGTTTTTTGCCTCATGAAAACCTCTTAACATTTTTCTGAACCACAACTTCTTTTTTGCTAAGCCAAGGCTACCTTATCTGAGGTGAGAAAAAATTCCACGTGAGCAACAGCACCTACTACAATTTGGGGCAGGAGGAGAGAGCAATGCCTCTTCTGGTGTCATCCTGTAAACCCCCACTGTCCTTCTCCCCCCACCCCCCCATCGTGGTTTCCTGCTGGATTTCCTAGTTGGGCTGTGGAGGCTTTGTGGCTGCTGCTGTCCCCCCTGCCCTGGCAGACATGCAGTCCTGTTTTGTCAGGCTGTGGTGACTACCTTGGTTTTTATTCATATCAAAAGGGTTTGAAATCTGAATGTGAAACGGAAGTCTTAAATGCACATAGCAACTTTAGTCACTCCAAGACTCAATCTTTTCTTTCAGGAATAAAAACTAACCTTAAAACCTTAGATGTGGCTGAACAAAGGGTGTTGAAGGAGAGACATGCTTAGTAATGGATACCACTGGCTACTGGGACCACTGTGTGAACAGGATGGACCCAGGGGCCTCATGTCCTGGGGCTGCTCTGTGAACAGAAGGGACCAGAGGACCTTGTGTCTTGGGGCTGCTCTGAATAGGAGGGACCAGGGGGTCTTGTGTCTGGATATTTAGAGTCTGCATGATTCCCAGCAGTTCTTGGGCCCATGAGAGAAAACAGTGCTGGCCCTCATGGCCCCAACAGCCTGAGCAGGATGTATCAGACCTGAGTGCAGCACACCTAAGGGAGGGCCTTGGGTGCTGCCATCCTGCACAGCCTGGGAACAGAGGTTTGGGGGTGAGGGGAAATCAACCCTGAGGATTCATCTGACTTATCAAGTACTCCAGGAAGGAGGGAAGCAAATGGCACCCTCTCGCCATCTCATGTGGTCTGGACCAGTGAGGACCCAGCAAAAACAGAATCCTCAGCCACGTACATCATGTCTTCATCCACATCTGGTGCTGTGCATGCAGCTGCCATCTGTTCCATCACTTCATGTGTGTTTCCCCTGTGTCTGTCTTTGTCTCTTCTCTCATAAGGACACCAGCCCATCCAGGCAACCTTGTTCTAACCATCAACGTCTGCACAGGATTCTCAGAAATGCAAACATCTCTGAGGGATACCATCTGACTCACTACAGAGGACTCTCAGAAACACGGACATCTCAGGGGCGCCATCTGACCTGCTATGTAGGACTCTCAGAAATGTAGACATCTCAAGGATGCTGTTCAACCACTATGCAGGACTCTCAGAAACATGGACGTCTCAGAGATGCCATCTGACCCACTATGCAGGACTCTCAGAAACATGGATATCTTGGGGATCCTGTCCAACCTGGTATGTAGGACTCTCAGAAATGCAGACATCTCGAGGACACCGTCCAACCACTACACAGGACTCTCAGAAATGTGGACATCTCTGGGAGATACCAACCCACTGTGCAGGACTCACAGAAACACAGACATCTCGGGGACACTGTCCAACTCGCTACATAGGACTCTCGGAAACACGGACCTCTCAAGCATGCCATCCAACCACTACACAGGAATCTCAGAAACATGGATGTCTTGGAGATGCTGCCTGACCCACTATGCAGGACTCAGAAACAGACATCTTAGGGGTGTCATGCAACTCACTGCTCAGGACTCAGAAATGTGGACATCTCAGGGAGACTGTTGGATCCACTACACAGGACTCTTAGAAATGCAGACATCTCTGGGGGATGCTGTCTGACCCACTATGCAGGACTCATAAATGTGGACTTCTCTGGGGGGTGCCATTTGACCTGCCATAAGGACTTACAGAAACACGGGCATCTCTGGGGGATACCATCCATCCCACTTCACAGGACTCAGAAACTTGGACATTTTGAGGACACCTTCCAACCCACTATGCAGGACTCACGGAAACATGGACATCTCTGGGGGACACCATCCAACCTACTCTGTAGGACTCACTGAAACGTGGACATCTCTGGGGACAACATCGGACCCACTACTAAGACTCTCAGAAATGTGAACATCTCTGGGGTACATCGTCCGACCCACTCTACAGGACTTACAGGAACATGGAGCTTTTTCTTTCTCTTTTCCCAGAAAAACACACACACGTGTCAGATTTGTCATGTGAGATCTTTGAAAAGTTAGAAAGGCTCTACTTTAGAGAAGAAATTTTCAATCTCTTTTCTATGAAATGGGTGATTTTTTGTACTTATGTTTTAATGTAAACACGTTCTAAAAGTGTTAGTATTTCTGACGTCAGCATATCTGAGGTTTCCGAGTAGTGTAATGTGTGTGACTCTGTTCCAGTTTCCCCAAAACAGTTTCCTTTGTGTGTGAATATATTTGCCACCCGTGATTGCAGATTTCCCCCTGCAGCAGGTAGGATGGGTTTCCTGGTTGTCTGCAATTATTTTTGTGTTGGCTATAAATGTCCTAAAAGTCTTTTTTGTGGGCACTGCCCAATTTGGTCACATATGAGCCATTTGGACTCGATGCAGATGTTGGCAGCCACTGTGACTGCAGTGGGAAGGGTCCTAGTCATGCACACCTGGGTCACAGCATATGGAGGTTCAAGGGATTGGCTCCCACTGTCAGCAGGCTGGGTGCAATGGCCCTCCTTGTTTGGAGAGAGCAGATGAGCTAGGAGTTGAGGACCCAGGCCTCTAGAAGTTAGCAAAGGTGAGGAAGGGACCTTTCCCTACAGCCTCCAGAAGAGCCTGGCTCCACCCATACCTGGATTTAGTCTTGTAGAACTCATTTTGGACTTCTGACCTGCACAACTATGAGGTCACAAATTTGGTTGTTGAAGCCACAAAGTGATTTCTGCAGCAGCCTCAGAACCCACACACAGATCCCCTTGTGGCTGGCCCAGTTGGGCCTTCATACTCACACCTATCCCTACCAATGCCCTATGCTCCTACATCCCACAGGCCTGCCAGACAGCCATCTGCTGCCCTGCAGGCCCAGCCCATCATCCCGAGGACAAATGCAAGGGGGCTGCTTCTTTTGGAACAGACGATGAAGGCCTGGAGGGGATGTGGAACCAGTGAGTGCAGGTGAGGAGGGTATCAGTGCCTAGGCTGTCTGCTTCTCCCGGGGTAGAGGAGGATCTCTGAGAAGCACTTTCTCCATAGAGACAGAAGAGGGATGGCACTGCAGGCGAGGAGCATCCGTGGTCATGTGGTTGTGTGCTTCCATCCCAGAACCTTGTGTAGGACTGGGCTTGAAGAGGCATGCTCATGGTTCCCATGGGAAATGTGCCCAGTTCCATGAAATCTAGTAAGCAGTGCCTGGAGTTGTTTCTTAGGACTGATAACACCGAGGCACAGCTAGGGTGAAACCCAGTAGGCAGGTATCTGAGATTCCTTCTTAGGGTTAGTACCACCAAGGCACAGCTAGGAAGCTCCTCATTTGATATTGTTGCTGCAGTAAAAATCTCCCCATTTGGCCTGTGACTGCTAGATTTTGTCTGGAGTTTGGAATGTGATGCCACTCTCATAGGGAAGAGGACAGTAGTGTCACATGTGACATCAATACACGTTTACCTGAAAAGATGTTGAAGAGATCTGAAAGCCTGTAAAAATTGACACTGCACGTTTATCTTAGCTATTTTTAAATTCTGCACTTAATAGACATAGAAGCCAAAAAATGTGATGGCCCAATAAAATGCCATAAGAACAGAAGCCCGTTTTAGAACTGCCTCCAACCTGGCGTTCTGCATGG